AGGGGAAACAGACAATTTAAAAATGAGCACCATCAAAGGTGAGCTACTCTCAGGGTGTCAGAGACCTCGGTTTGGGGTTCCTCATGTCCATAAAAGGAACAGGCTTCCAAATGATGGTCAAAGATTTTTTAAAGCAAAAGTGTCCCCCAGAGAGTCCCCTTAGCAGTCACCTCCATCTCCAGCCCAGCCAGGATCCATCCTGGAGACAGATGTTGCCCAAAAGGACCATAGCAAGGTCAGGCCAAGGGAGCGCAAGTGTGGAAACTTCTGAGATCGGCTTGGGTTTGGCGCTCAGGGAACAATAAACGGAGCCTTTGAAGAGATTAAACAAAGGAAACATTTGTCTTCTCTAGAAGCTACAAAATTAGACAGGATTGCAGCGAAGGACTAAGGAATAAAAGGAGGATGCCAAGCTGGAGATGAGATGAGGGTCTACCAGGTCCAGCCTAGCAACTTCCGCCAGGATTCGAGGTCTGGCAGCCAGTGGGCAAGAAAGCTCACAAATACACTCACTGCAACCCAGGAAGTGTACGCTCTAGGGTTTTATGTGAAAAACATCCACTAATTTTTTTTTTCTTCCTCAGCTGCTTTAATTTACACAGTATATGGAGAGACAACATCCTAAAATGATGCAATTTTTTAGATGCACCCAGATTTTCTTCACTGCCTTTTTTGTTATCGTTCCTATGAATTAATGATGCTGAATTTTATTTTCTTATCTGCTGGAGCGCCCCCTGGGTTCTTCACACTGGGGCACATGGTTGGCATTCAAATGCTTGCGTGAACTTCCCTTGCTTTTTAACATTCCCTGGCTCACTCGGTTTTTAATCTCACAGCCTTTCTTTCCAAATGATCTTTCTGCTGGAGATACGTATTTCTAATTCTCTTCCCTCGCCTCCTTCCCTCTTTGACAGACCTCACATGACTTGAAGGGGATTTTAAATAACAGCCCAGCCATCTCGAGGGGCTCTCTGTCTTGCCCCCACACTGGAGCTAGCTTTTCGATCACCAGAGTCGGTTCTTTCCATATTAATCACTGCTGTTATGTGTCCAGAATCAACTTGGTAGGAAATTTTCTGAAGGGTGAGAGAACAGATATCCAACGAAGGGTCGAGTCACACATCCTGAATCTCTCCTTTTGTGTCCCTGGGCAGAGAGGAGAGAGTGTGGTCCAATTGCTCGTTTTCAGCACTTCTTTTGTTCCCAAGCATAAAAGCGACATGACTGTCATGGTGAGAGTTAATGATTCTCATTTGTGTCATCCTGGAGGATAGCCTGCTTCCTGCAGTGACACAAGGGTCTCTTCCATGAGGCAGTCTTATAGACTTTACCTGGAGTTCCAGCCCCGTGGATAACAGAACGGTCCTACTGAAGACTCGCCTCTCCTTAGAAATCCAGCAGCACCAAAAAAAAGGAGAGACATTACTTTAGGGAGTCCCTAGACCAGCAAACCAGAAATGTTCATTCAATAGACACCTTCCACTGACTTCCAAAAGGAAGTGGAAAGACCAACGTTGTCTATAAAAATGTTTCTTCGAACGATAAACTCCAAAAGCTACCTCTGGGTGATTATGACTAGAAACTTTTAGTTTTTCTATTCTTTGATTCTTGTATTTACAATTTTTCTTTTCCAATGAACATGGTTCTTTGGTCATCTTGAATATTAATTTTAATTCCTCGGCCATTTCTTAACCTGGCAAATGTCTATTCTAGGTCTAATGGTTCCTAAAAATTATTTTAATTTTTAAGATTAAAATTAAGGATGGTTCCCACCTTGTTTGGAGACACAAAGCATCTCCAATCTGTTACTTGAAAGTAACATTCCAAGTGATGTCACCAGCCAGGCAGAGAACAAGGTTGAGTCCTCAACCCACAAGCAATGTCTCTGCTGGAGTTCACACGTCCTACACCCAGGTGGCATAATTTAGTATTCAGACTTTAAGAGAGGGCATATCTGCCCTCTTTAGCAATCTTCCAAAACTACCCTCTGAGGTCAAGCTAGACCTACTTCTGTCTTGTGTGATTAGTTGGTTGGTTTTGTGTTTTGTTTTTGTGTTTTGCCCCTGTGGAGAACAGTGCTTCGATCTCCAGCAGAGCAATGGCAAAAGTGCCAGATTCCTGGGGAAGCACCCTAAAAGGCCTCTTCCAGGAATGATGCCCGTTGCCAAATTTCCTGAGGATATATCTAGGTGATCAGACACTCTCAAGCATCCTTCTCCTCATAAAAACCTACTTGGATGTATTCACACGCATGAAGCATGCTAGGTAAGTTTCCTTCGCTGTTATTTCTATCTTTATTGCCCAGACTTTTCAGCATAAAAACTTTTTTATTAACATGGTCATTTACACTTGTTTCCAGTGGACTCTCAAATGCTCCTCATCCCTCCCCTCCCCCAGCCGCCAACATTACCAAAAGCTCTAGCTATGTATCGCTCATCGGCCCAATTAAAAAAAAAAAAATTAAATAAGAAAAAGCAAATATCCCTAACGTTCCACCGTGCCTCCCTTTCCCCAGTGAATCCAGTGTCCTGCTGTAAAATTTGATAGTTAGAAAATGATGGGTTTCTAAGACTGTGGCCTAAACGTTGTTTTAACTGTTTTAGAGTTTGCTGGAACTTTTTTTTTCCCGTATGTATACTTCACGTTTTATTTCATGTTTATTTCACGTTTCCCGTACATAGCATCAGTTCTCCTTAGAGTGATGATGTTCACTGTTAATAAGTAGTGATGAGTTCATTTTCATTACCCTTATGCGGTACAATAGTCGCCTCTGAAGCACTTTCCCCTCCAGGAATTCCTCTT